CAGCGCTGTGGCCCTCGGCAGAGCTCCTCTGCCCCGAAAATACGCGCATGCAAATGGCTTAATTTAATATATAATTATACCCTGTAAATGGGGATGGATAAGAGATCGGGTGTTTTATTGATCCCCTGAACTCTCTCAAGCATTTGCCATATGCCAGTGAGCAAGGCACATCTGAATGGTAACTTAACATGCAATTTAACATGCGAATCAGTCATTTACAACGTCTTTGTATATGTCGAAGTCAAGTTCTGGATACTCTAGATATACAAAGATATATAAAATATATTTGGGCTTATAAAATGCTCATTTGCATTGCACATTTTACCAGGATCTTAAGGTGCATGGTAAATGTTTACAAGCATGTTAAGCATAAGTAGCAATTCTTTTGTATAAATGTATATTTCCAATCGAATTTCTAGTAGATAACACTTAACATGAGCATAAGTGCCTGGCAAATATGCAGCTCGTTTTTGTGCTTTCATTTTAAATAGTGTATACTAATCTTATATATTTTGTTAATATATGGTATATTTTATTCAATTCTATTCAAGCTATTGCCCATGTTCATTCTCATTTCATATGCTTACAATGCAGTTAAACTGCTTGTTAAGTTTTGCCAAGCGAGCTAAGCATAGACAAAATGTTGATCAAATAAAACTTCAGACTTCTATGGAAATTTATGGTAGACGGAAATTAACATGAATATTTGTGCCTGGTAAATACTGTATATAGCTAGTTATGTAAGCGAATATCTAAGATGGCATTCTCATGTATATATTTGCCATGCAGTTAAAGTGCCTGACAACTTTCACCAAGCACTTTGCCAATGTGTTCCTCATTATATTTATTTGCCATGCAGTCAAAGTGCATGTTAACTATTTTTTAGGATCCATGTATAATCCTTGCCATGTAGTTAAAGTGCCTGGCAACTTTACCATGCAGTTGGCGCAAGATAACTACAACTGCAAGTCGCATATACCCGAGGTTGGTAATGAGACGACGCCAACTGCCTTGTATCTGGCACTTTGGCTCGCTAAGGTGCCAAGGATAATGTGGATATGTATAGGTGTGCTATATGGGCAGATTGTCTTGCCTAAGCCAGAGATTGATGCTGCTTCGCATAGCCGCCAACCACCGACAACCAACCGACCGCCCTCGCAATCCCGCAGCTGTAATTAAATTATCATGCGAGCTACGTAAAGCTGCCTACTTTTAGGCTGAGACATTGTCGCCTGCATATGTAAAGATGCTGCACGGACGACAGTGGGCGCACCCGCAGCCCCGCCCACTCTCGCTCCCTCTCTCTCGCTCTCCTTTGGCAGCTGCGGTCCTGCTCTACTGAATGTTGTAATTCAAACGACAGCAACGGGTTAACATTAGCGCACTTTTTATGGCCATGCGTTGGATAAGTGCTCCTCGTTGTAGACCAGCTCGTTGTTGTTGTTTTTGTTGTTGTTGTTGTTGTTGTTGTTGTTGTTGTTGTTGTTGTTGCTGTTGCTGCTACTGCCTGCTGCTGTTGTCGCATCTCTATGATTAGCACTGAAATTTATGCCAGCCGCAAAAGGCATTTGCGACAGCAACAACTGCAGCGCACTTTGCTAGCCACGCCCACTCTCTCGCCCACGACATCTAGAGCTTCGCATAATATATTTGAGTATCAAAATATTTAAAACTGCATGTAATGCAAGCTAAAAATCTGATGGATAAACATATATCATAGATAAGTAAGAGTCTAGGAACGATCGCTGCTAGCTAGAGTATCGCCTCTCTCTGCGAATTTCATGGTTCTTTGCGATAACTTAGCTGACATCAAAACAAAGTGAAATAAGGTGGGAAGTATTACTTAAGTAATTAAGTAATTACTTAAGCTTGCCAAATATGCTTTTCGATTATTGTTTCGCACCCTCTCTCTCTCGCTCCCCTCTCTCTCTCTCTCTCTCTCTCTCTCTCTCTCTAGTTCTCTTCCTTCTCTTCCCTAATCTTCCTTCATATAATTTGTTTCTTTTAGTTTTATTCTTGCTGCCTGACTTTTCCTTGCCCTCTCTATCTCTCTTTCACTCTGTCTCGCTTTTCCATTCTCTCTAGATATTTATTACATATTTACGAATTCTCTAAAAAGAACTTTCATCAACTACACTTTCACTGCTTTTCATAACCTCCTCACTCCATAACTCTTTCTTTCTCCCTCTTTTCCACTTGATCTCCCTCTCTCTATCTCATTCTCTATCATGATCCTTCTCCCTCTCTCTCTCTCTCTCTCTCTCTCTCTGTCTCCTTTCTGTCTGTCTCTCTCGCTTTCATTCTCTCCTTCTGTCTGTCTCTCTTTCTCTCTCTCTCTCTCTCTCTCTCTCTCTCTCTCTCTCTCACTCACTCTGTGTCTCTCTTTCTGTCTTTGTCTCTGACTCTCTCTCTCTCCTTTTCTTCAACCTTCTCTCCATATATAGCTCTTTAGCTCTCTCTGTGTCTTTCTTTAATCTGCCCCTCCTTCCTTCTTTTTTACTCTCTCTCTGTTCCTCTCTTTCTTACATCATATATCAACTTAACAACTTTTCATATAATTTTACTTCCAATTTCAAACTTGAAGTTAGTTTTCATTTTATAACAACTCAAACCTCTAAATAAATAAATTTAAAATAAAATAAAAAATTTCCAATTTGGAAATTCGCTTCAATTGTTTCGTCAAGATAGCGGCGCACTTAGCGGTCAGTTGTGGGTTGTATGTCAATTTGGCTTGGGTTACTTTTTTGTGCTTCTTCTTCTCGACTTTTTTTTTTTTTGGTGGGGGAGCAGCAGCAGCAGCAGTGGAGGCAGCATCTGTGTGGACCAAATGTGGACTTAGGACGTGCTTTTAATTTTTAAAAACTGCTTTTAAAACGTGATAAAACACGTTGAAGCAGCAAATAGTTGTAAAAGACACACAGAAAACATGCTACTATATATGTACATACATATATACATATACATATTGTATATTTATATATATATATACATATATATCGCTGCAAATCCCCAGCCGCTGATGAGTGACAGAGAGAGCTATATGGAGAAGCAGTGTAAGTGCTGGACAGCAAAGGCAAGGAGAAAAAAAAGTGTAAAGCGTGCATTTACATAATGAAAGATGTAGCAATATGTGACAGCATGTGTGTGCGTGTGTGTGTGTCCGTCCGAGTTCGGCTGGGGATAAGCAGCAAACGGGACATCATGTGCGTGGCTGCTTTTTTTGTCCCATATGCAAGGCGAAGCGCGAAGCAGTGGAGGACAAACGAACGAAAAAAAATGGAATTATAAAATATTGAGGCGAGTAAGAAATGCACAAAGCAGACACACACAAACACACACATGTAACATATACGCGGACACACAGACAAGCAGTGGTCGCCGTTTGACTGCTTGCCCCGCACTGCTTGCCGACTGTGGGTCTATGTAGATGGCGCTGTGAACCACATACAGAATTAATGTCCTTTTAGATACAAATGCAATTTAGAAGTGTGTGTATATATGTGTGTGTGTGTGCGAGACGCCCTCAAAAAATGCTTTCACATGGTCAGCTCAGCATCTTTTACTCCACTTCCTTCTTCTGCTTCGACTCCCACTGTTTTTTTTTTTGCTACATAATTTTGAATAACATTAAAATTATTAGCTACAAATGCAAAAAAAAGCGCGAAAAAAAATTGCAAAAAATGGGGCGTGGCATGGCAACAAATGTGCATAATGAGCTACGGTCGGACCAGGCTGGCAGCAAGAGCGGCGAGTGGAGGCAGTACGGAACGGGGCGTGGCAGGGTAAGTCGGTGTCTACGCCGAGATTTACGCGCGACACATTTTTTATTTCAGTTCTTTTTTTTTTAGGGCTAAACACTTTTCAGTTGATATCGCAAATCCTTTTTACAGCGCTTACATAATGATATGTGGGCAACGGCTTTTTTCCCCAAAGTCCAGCTGCTGCGGTCTGCGCGGGCGGAGCAGGAGGTGGGCAGGGGAAGGCAGGGGAAGGCAGGCGGAGGCAGGTGGCAGCTGGCATTTGCATGCAATTTGCGTGATGTAAAGTGAGGGGAGGGGGAGAGAGGCGACCATGATAGAGCTGATAAGAAACCGGAGCGAAGCCTGAAACTAAGCGGAACTGTCCGTCTGTCCAGCTGGAGGAATCGCGCACAAAAACCCGATGACAAAAAATGTTGCTAGTTCACTTCAAGGCCCAGCCTAAGCGTAAGCCTCAGTGCTTCCCTATAGAGGCTTCAATTTAAATTTCTTTCAGTGCTCATAATAATTTTTTTTTTTTTAGATACATATTTAACGATGTTTAAGTTTAATTAATTATATTTTACTTAGCTGTGCACTTGTTCAGCCTCAAATAAAATTCTTTATCTATTTCAGCCTTATATCTCTCAAGGGTCAGTCGAATATGGACAGCTCTGTATTTATATACATACCTTTCAAAATATACATATATATTACACTAAGAAAAATTCAACAATGATTTCTGTCTCTGGAGTCTTATTTGGTCAACCTGCAGCACATCAATCAATTCAGATTTCTACTTCAATTTACTTTACTTCCTTAATCGCCGCTCTATGCGACTCTCATTATTTGCACCCGAAGCGTTCTTCTCTATTCTAAATTCTCTATTTTCACGACGATTGCAAGTGAAGACATAGAGAAATGATCGATAGTTATTTCCGAGCTATTCTTTTGTTCAATTGCCTCTCTATGCAGTTCTCACGATACTCATCTCGAGTTATGAGTTGATTTTTTCCCACTCACCCCTCTATGCGATTCACATTCTGCCTACAGAGCTTCACGACGGCAGCCTCTCTACGCGCTTCTCACTGGACTTATTTGACAATCTATTATTCCAATCAGCTTTATGCGACATCTGAATCAATTCATGATCTCTGCACTTGCTTTAACTCTAATTTTATGATTTCTCTCATTTAATTAATTTTCTCCCCTTTCTTTTGTTTATTTATAATTTTTCAATTGATAAAGAAAAAGGATTCCAAATTTGATTTATTTCCAAAATTTATTTAATAATAAAATCAGGCATTTATAAATATGCGATTTGGATAACATTCAAATATCAACGAAAGCACAAAAGACACGAATCAATTCCATCTCGATTAATACGAATATGTTAGGGTATCCACTAGTCGAGTACGCTTATAGGTGTATAGGTATTTCCATATAAACATATCGCTTTATATGATGTGATTGCAAACCGCCAGACTTTATACATAGCTCATTGTAAGAAGTATACTCATGTTAAACTGCTTAACATTAATTTAACCTAGCAATAAGAAACAAAAATTATATCCATACCAAATTTATCTGCCTTGTAAAGTTATTGTTAGGATTTAGATTATCTTCCTGTCAGCTCTTTGTAAAATGATCAATGTTAAGTTGATCAATGCTCATGTTAGATTTGTCAACTATATTTCCAGCTTGATTGTAAAATTAGTCTGCCTTCAGCTTATTATATGCATATAAATAACCTGATGTTAAATTTCTTAACTCTGCTAAATGTAATCTCCATATAACTTACTAGCTCTATATTCAAACCTCAGCATAACTGTAAACCTAATGTCAAATGTGGTCAACACTTTTAGAACCTGTTTAAAATTCTTTTTCTTTGATTTGGGTTTCTCAAAAATTTCATGTCTCTGATTTTGAATATTGGAATTTGACTTCTCTAATTACAATCTGGTTTGTCTGGCAGATAAATTACACTTACTATTAGGATTTTAATATTTTTTTTTTTTTTTTTTTTTTTTATTATTTTTTACATGTGTATATATCAATTGTAGTACATTGTATAATCTAAAAAAAAAAAAAAAAAATTTTGCCTCGACTTCTCTTTGCTCTCACAATGGCAATGAAGTTGTTGGCTTAGTTTTACGCTTGCGTCGCTTGCGCGCCTTGCGGCGCAGCCGATCGAATTCTCTGATGTGCTTAACAATGAAATGCTTCAGATCCTCGCCCTCAACTTGACGGCAGGACATTGTGAATAGTATAAGCGAATTAATATAGAAAAAGAATCTTATATCATAATTATGCATATTAGAATTGGGGCTCTGCTTGCCGTGCTGCTCCCTCCTCCCCTGGTGGCTTCCACTCTTTTGCTGATTGTTGTTGCTGTTGTTATTGTGATTGTTGTTGTTGTGGTGATTGTGATTGTAATGATTGTGTTTGCGCACCTTTGGCGAGGGCGGAGGCACATCCTCATCGCTGTCCGTCGAATAGCGACGATTGCGTTTGCCGGCCGCATTGAAATGTTGGCGTAAATAATCATAAATGCTCATATTTCTAATTGTGATCAAATTGATGGTGTTGGCATTGGGATGGATGTTGATGTTGGTTTTGTTGATGTCGCTGTTGCAGTTGTTGCCTGTGATGTTGTTGTTGTTGTTGTTAATGATCTTGTTGTTAGTTTTGTTAATGTCGCTTGTCGTTTGCCTTGTGAATGGTCCCGATTTATGCAGCGCCACATGCTGTAGATATGGCCAACTGCCGCACGCCAACTGCGCGCGTGTTGGAATCGTTGTTGATGTTGTTGTTGGCAGCATTGGCTCGGTTTTGTTGTTTGCATAGCGAACATAATATTGATCTACAGCAGTGACTGCAACGCGTCAATGATCAGCAATCAGCGGGCCCCAGAACATTTTCGATATTTTGGTTTCATCTTCGGTTAAAAAGAATTGACGACCCAAATGTACAAACTCCTTGAGCGACACCTGGCCATCGCCATTCTTGTCTATCACAGCGAATGAAATGGCAGCATCCTCTTCAGATAGTCCCAGACAGCGGAAGAAGAGCTTATATTGTTCGAGATCCAAATGGCCAGTGTGATCGAAGTCAACGGCCTGCAAATGCAATAGCAAATTTCAATTAAATAACATCATTAACTGAGTTTTGCTCATCAACGTTTTTACCTTAAACAAATAGGGCAAAAAGCGACCAATGCGCTTAGCCATTTTCTTGTCGTTCAGTCGATGATGCAAATCGGTTAGGAACTGCTCGGCAGTCACTAGATTATATGGGGTTATCTCGCCGAATTGCTCCTCCCAGGTCTGTTTGATCACCTCGTTGAATTCTTCGGCCATCTCGTCTGACAAATGGCCCAAATCGCTGAAGCGTTTCGCCAACAGCGTAAAATCATCGTACGAGATGACGCCATCGTGATTGACATCCATGATGCGATGCAGGGTGCGCATTTTGCGGCGCCAGAACTCAGAATCGCCCTAAACAAAGCAATAAGAAAATACAAAATTAATTCATTTCAAATTGAATTCAAATTCAAAATATAACTGCCGATGCTCGGTTGCTTGCGTGCACTGCTTTGTATTCAAACACGCCCACTGTTAGAAGTTCAATAGCAGCCGAGACCACAACCTTGCACTGCTTACGTGTCTGCGCCTGCGTCACGCACGACTGCGGCGCAGCCGTCGAGAGTTCAAAATTCGACATTGAGCCAAAATCAACTTTCGAGCTTAGAAAACACGTTTCCCACCCAAGCACACAAACACGCAAGCAATGAGTATACCAGTTTTAGCCACGTGGCTGGCTTGCTTACCCGTTCGCTATGCTTCACATTGGCATTTCTGCGACGTCGCTCGAACTCGTCATCCGAATCGGAATCCGAATCGCTGTCCTGGCGGCGCATAGTGGCTGCTCCAGCAGCTTTCTTTGAATATAGGCGCACATTCTGCAGTGCTGTTGCCGGACGGTAGACAAGACTCCATGCACCATGGGCTGAACCAGACACCAGGCGCTGCAAATGATAACAAATAGAGACAAAATTCCATTAGTTTTTATTGTTACAGTTTGGATGTCATTGTTGCATTTCAACTGCTTGTTTTTGTTGTGCAACACCAACGCACTGCTTGCCTACTCCATTTCGAATTCGCTGTGTTTGGAGAGAAAACAACAAAACACGCACATAAATCAACGCTGTTAATGTTGTTTACTGTTGCATTAACAGCCAACAGTTACACAATTTTTGGCGCTCACGCAGCGTCACGCCCTTCAGCTTATATGTATATGTATATGTAAGCACTTACATATAAACAAATAATATGCTCTTAATTATGTTATTTTTGTTATTGTTTTGCTTTGTTTACTGTTTTGTTAAGGTCAGTTCTAGATTCTTGTCGTGGACCGGTTTTCACCGCAGCTAACAGCGACCCTGAGACCCTTAAATAGTTGTCGAGTTTTGACAGTCACTGACGGCTCAAGTCTCCCCACGTGGTACACAGTGCATTTTCAACTATGGCTTTGTCTTCCCTTGACCTTGTGCGTCTTAGCTCTAGGAGCTAGAGTAGGACAGATGCATGCAGATCAACTGCATGCACACGCACACACACATTATTTGTACATGGCTGATTACAACATTGAATCTGTGGAGCGTCTCTATGTGTGTGTGAGCATTTTAATGAGTTTTCGAATCTGTTAAGGCTTGTTGACAGTTTTTTTTTTTTTTTTTATTGAAGATAACTGTATGCAACGTTTCTATTGTTGTTTTTTTTCTTTCTTTCTCTTCTGCTCTTTTGTTTTTAATTACAAGCAACAAAACTCGTCAACAACTACAAGTAGCTCGAAAGTTTGTTGATAATGGATATTGTAGCTCGTCTCGTTATGATAATCATGATGACATCATTAAGATTGAACAAAAATAGTTGAAATTGAATATCGAATAAATTTAGGCTATTCCTAACACACATACACGTCTTAATATATTTAAGCGTGTGCTAGACACATGGGAGAAAAACAAGCTAACAAATAATATTTAATATATGCCGAAAAGTAGCACAAAGCGCACATCGCTAGCCAACAACAATGCGAAAATGGAGAGAATGAAGCTAGCAGCGCACAATTGGTTCCTGCAGTGGCTAGAACAGCGGAAATAGGTTTGTGGCACGGCTAAGCGCAACTATCGCCGCACGCAACGCATTGGTAGGCTTAGCTGGCCGCGATTTCCGTTTCGCTAGGTAAACGGTAAACATAAAACAGCAGCCGTTTGCTATTTGTTTTTTTGTTATTGTTATTTGGCGCTTTGCGCATGCTTTTGTTGACAGAATTTGCGCAGTTCGCCAAGTCGCCCCATTTTTTTTTATTTCTTTTTTGGGGATGGTTTGAAAGTTGCCTTCACTCAGCGGCGAATTTGAGTAGCTGTTGTTGTTTTTTTGTTTTTCTGTTCGTGCATTGAAAGATATGCGTCTTTGGCAGTATTGATTGCTGTTGTAGTAGTAGTAGTACTAAGGGGAGGGAATAGTGTTAGGAAACTATTGACAATTATACAAATATACATATATATGTATGTATGTATACATAGTGATCTATATGTACTATATGTACATAAATAAATAGAATGCATTATCTTCGTCTTAGCTCTGCCACGCTTACAATTTGCTTCTCAAAGCGAACTTTCTATGCCATCTCTGTCGCACACATGGTGGCCTCATTTTCTTGTAACTATAACAGATGCCCCTTCCCTTCTCGCTTGCTCATCCACTCTTTTGATAAATTAATTTAACTAATACAAACGCACAGAAACACAGAGAGAGAGAAAGAGAGAGGACATATACAAACGCTTACATTGTTGTTGCAATCGCTTGTTGGAAAGGTGGAAAGGGGCTGGTGCTGCTGCTGCTGCAGTGCGCCCACCGTTGCGGCCATATTGCGTTCCAGGATTTCTCTCGAAGTACGCAATAGACTGCGGCTTACAATGGAGAGGGCCATGTTTAGTGTTGTTTTTGTTATTGTTGTCGTTGGTATTTTGTGTATCGATCCCGACTTAACGGTTATATTGAGTATTTAAACTCTCTTTTATTTGTTTGCTCCTCTTTTTTGCTGTTATCCCCTGTATCAGGCAAGCGAAAAAGAATGTGCAAGCTGACGGCGTTGCTTTACTGCAGGTATTGTTGTTGTTTTTGTTGTTTTACAGTTGATTGTTGCAGTAGCAGCGCGCATTTAACAACCGGTTTAAAAGTCACAGTTTCAAAAATGTTTTTCTTTAAAAAAAAGTTGCACTTTTGTTTGCTTTTGCGTATTACACTTTTCTGCTCCTCTTCAACTTCTTATTCGTCTTCTTGTTTTTCTTGAACTTCTTTGATTTCTTTCCGTTCAACACAACCGTTCGCTGGCGCGTTCAAAATCGTTTTGACACCGACTGTTGCGGCGAAAAGAAATGAAAACAACGGCGACGGCGATGGCGACGGCGACGGCGACGGCAACTCTGTACCAGAAGCGGCTTTGTGTGTATGCGTGCTTGCGTGTAAGAGCATCGTGCGTTTGTGTGTATGTAAAATTTGGAGTGCGAGCATAGAAGGGCAACGCAGCGATGTTACCAGAAAAACAACACACATACAGACACATATTTGAGCCAGCGCGGTAATATTGAAAACAACGTCAACAGATGTTACAAGCCGGTCAGTGACTTGTAAACCGCGTTATACATTTATTTTTTAACTATATTATAAATGCATGATTGTATGTTTTAATCAATTGAATAAAGAGAAATTTAACTAATGCATGCATTTTTTCATAGATATGCTCGTATGCACGTAAATTTACGGTAGTTTGTATGCTTATTGATAAAGTAAACGAAAACTTACATATTGAGGTCGATGTGACAGACTGTTTGTTGAGCGAACGAGCCAGACATACATACATATGTACATGCGTATATTTACACACACACACACATTCATGTAAGCGCCAGCGGCCGAACGGTCGAGCGAGTTTTCTGTTTTTGTTCTACTTCTACTTCATTGCCTCACCAGCACATACTTGTATATTTACCACACAGACAGCATGTATGTGTGTACACATGCTTGCATGTATGTAGGCATGAGCTTGTGTTATATAATTGGATTTGCTCAAAATATAATGGGTTCTCTTTACTCTTCACACTCTAACAGTGATCCTGCAGGAGCACTATAGCGCGAAAAAAAAAATGTAAATAAACAGTAAACAGGAGAAACAGTAGAGGGACGGAAGAAGAGTTCTCAAAAATGATCAGCTGTTCTGCATCAGCTGTTATCCATGCAAATACACATACATATGTACATATGCATGTGTTAACATGTTGTACATGCTGATGCACATACATGTATGTGTGTACATATGTATGTTTTGCCATACTAGCAAATGTGCAACAAGTACAAGTTGCCTTGGACTGCAAGCAGTCTCCAGCAGCGCCATTTATGTACGACTTTTTGCTGTTTGGTGGGAGTGCAATGCACTCTATCTTCAATTCCAATATAAGTGTATGTGTGTATATGTATGTCTGCATGTGAACGTGTACAAGAACAACGCGCGCATCGGCATCGGCTGACTTCCCAATCGTCACGTAACGTTTTAAGCGCCGGCGAATGCAGTCAATTTACATGAGACGACAACAGGTTAAGGAGACTGCTTTAGTTACCTTGCAATGTGCATTGTGTGCCTATAATGTAGGTGTGAATGTTTAATTATATACATAGATAAAACGTAAACAACTTTCAATGCTCTCACAGAGCTTGGCACACGCCGATGTTTACGTTAAGCTGCGTATGCCGATAGAAAGTTCGATAAAAGTTTTTGTATGTACTTGCAAATCATATAATGCTTAATAGATAATTCAACTTTGCAGTAAAAGTCGATGGTAACATACATACATACATACATGTTTATACTTGTCATTAGAGTACAATGCTCTGAATAAAATACATGTATGTATGTTTTCTGATATTCGTGATCAGCATACTAGCTTCTTTACGCTCTTTACGTCACAGGCGTAAGTCTAGGATTGCCAAAAAAAAAGAAGGCGTAATTAAAAACCACATCTGCATGTTAAGTAACATCAGATGAAAATAAAAGATGGCGGGCTTTGGTGTAAGAAGTGATGAGTTTTCATGCATACATTTGCATATGTAGATATGCATATGTAGATATACATATGTATGTATGTATATTTATATACTTCTTATTATTTTCATACATATGTATGTACATATAATATACACATGCTTGTCTCACATGTTGATCTGCGACCGGCTTATATTAAATGGTAAAGTATTGTGAACATAATTATGTATGTTTATATAAGTATATATAGTTACATTTATAGTATATTTATATGTACATATGTACATATGTATATTTCTGAGCACACACGCGACGTGTGTAATTGTAATTGTAAGTTTAATCGCTTTTTCAGTCGTTGATGCGTGGCGGGAACCTGAAACACATACATACTTACATATGTATGTATACATACCACTACTTATGTAAGCATGTGTGTACTGTTTAGAAGCTCTGTTGTTTTCGTTCTGTCTTTTGCTTTAACATCTGTTGTTGTTTTCTTCTTCTTTTTTTTGGTGTTGGTTTTTTTTTTTTTTTTTTGCGCTGCTTAAGCGTTTGGCGCTTTTGTCAAGGTTTTCATTTTCGTCTGTTCGAGATTTCCGCAACGCCATTTAGCTTTTGGCGTACGTGTTGTGCCTCATTGTCGTCTGCCGGCTCCACAGCAACAACACCGACAACAACATAAGAGCTGTTTTGATACTGGTATTTTCAATTTCATTAATACTGCGCTCTGCATTCGCATTGAGAGTTAATTTCCATGCAACATGGGAGAGTGATGCGGTTTTCGTATGCGGATTTTGGCACGTCAGCACTGTTATCTCTGAGAGCATGGGAGGCTGTCAAAGCGGGGGATCTATATATGGGTGTGTATATGTATGTATGTATATACATATATGTCTTTTTTGTAATGCTTTCTGATTTGAGAATAAAATGACACAAAATTAAGTGTGCTGAGTGTGTGTGCGTGACTGCATGTGAATGCGTGTATTTCTTTAGACATGCATGTGTGTATGTGCTGAGTTTGGTGGCGTTGCCACAGTTCCACAAAGCCTACGTGCGGCATGCAACGTATCCTTTTTGTTGGCCTAGGTTCAAGTGGAAGGCAACTGCACTTAAATATTGCCATTAATACATGTCCATTCATATATGTATGTATGTATGTATATGCTTGCATTTATTTGTATGTATGTATATGCTTGCATTTATTTGTAAGTATATTCACAGTAATTCATGGACAGGCAAAATCAAGCGTCTTATCAGCGACCTGCTTGTGCTATTTTTCATTTATTATTTTTGTTTATTGTTGTTACAATTGATAAAAAAAAAAAAAACCAAAAACAACTGCAGCGGACATTTCGTCCATCATTAATTTGAAAGTGCGGGCGCTTTGTATGTAAAGATTAGGCCGAAAAATAAACACAATATTAACGAGGGCCGTGTGACAAGTTCTTGGCTATACTTTAAGCACGTGATATGGAATGATCTCTATCGTTCTAGAAAGCTTTATCTACTAAAGAAGTATTGAGATAAATGAGAATTGTTTAGACTTTTGAATATTCATCTACGTTGAGCTGCTTCTGGTTAAAATATGTGTATAATAACATATTTATATGAATAATATTCATATCGGTATAGATTTATCGTATGCCCCAAGGCATTGGCGAACTCTCAGAACGGCCCTCGCCGAAAAAAAGTCACAAACAGATTTGGAAATAGCTTCGATGAATTGGGTAAATAAGAAACCAAACTGGTAAACAAAGTTTTAAATTTATTTGTATCTTTTATTTATTTATTTACTTTTTTTTTTTAATTTTGTTTGCGAGTGTATTTTGCCGTTCGTTTTTAGTTGCCAAAGTTCAAGATGTTTTTTTGGTCTTTGTTTTTTGCATCGATCCAAGTCCAAGTTTGAAGCAAAATAAATTTGGAATAATTAGCTAGTGAATTAATAGAACTTAAAATTGATCGCTTAACAGTTATAATTATGCAAAGATCAGTTGGCCTTGTAGAGCAGCAACAACAAAACAAACAAAGCAAGATAAATCAAAACATTTCAAATCCATAAACAGCAAAAAACAGCGATGCACAATAAACATACAAACTTACGGTTGTGTATGTGTACGCCTCGCTGTCTGTCTCTCTCTCTTATTTTGTCTGCGGTGTACTCATGTATGTGTGTGTTGGTGGTATTACTTTAGCTGTAATCCACACCAGAAGGGCGCATCATGGCTGCCCTGACAGACAGCGATGCTTGCTTCCTACAAGTCACGCACGAAGAGATGAACTCTTTATTTTGTAATATTTGTATCACATGTACATATTTAAATAATTAAGCAATAATATAAATATTACGATATATTTGTTAGTACTCGTATACCATATACATACAATAGATTGTCATATTTTACGCTTCAATGCAACATTCAATTATTCATTATGTAGAGCATTCACTGTGCCATTTGTGCTGTTTACCCCTTCCCCATGTTGGTCAAGTGCTAAGTGGTAAACAGCAATTCGACGCTTCGCCTGGGCCTTCGGCAGCACTTTTGTAAATTTATGGCTATTTTTAGGTGAAAATACGATTCGCTTTATCTCTTAACGAAAATAAGTTATTTGTAACTTCAGCGACGTTGAAGCCGGCACGTTAGCCAAAAAAAATCGTGCGTAAACAAAATTGTAAAAAAATGAAAAACAAATAAACAAACATTAACAAAGCCCCACAACCTTACAGAACTTATCTCATTACAGTTTTAGAGCCATTTGGTGTATATCAATATCGTGTAAGTTTGTAAGACGTAAAAAGCAGTTGTAATTGGACAGGTGACATAAGAACGTTCATATCATATAAGCAACAAACTTATTTTGGACTAGAGCTAAAAAAACATATTCGAAAGATTTGTTTAAAACTTGCGCGCCTTATGGAATAACTCAAACAGCTGCAACAGCTGTTAAGAATCAGTGTTGGTAACGCACACTAAATGTTGAAGCCAGAGCGGTATATCGATAATAAATTAGACAGAAATTGCAAAGCACAATATATATATTTTTTGTATTAATACAAAAAGTGAAACTAGCAAAGCATTTGACAAAATTTACTAATTCTTAATCTACTTATAATGTATATATAATTATAATTTAATCTCAATAATGATACAATTGCATCGATATATCAATACATTTTCATCGATATAGTACCAGTATACGTACTTAACGCACAGTGGCCAATCGCATTAATGGCAATCGATTATTAGCGACTGTCATTATCGACAAGCTGTCTGGCAGAAGAAAAAGAGAAGATTGCAGCAGAAGCGGAATAGATTTATTGATTTTAATATTCAAGTTAATAAAACTAACCAAGTGCTGAAATTAATTGCGAGAAATCTGCAAAATGGAGGCGCTGGTGAATTACAGCAGCGAAGATGAGCACGAGGAGGATTCCGGATACGAGATACGGGTAAATACACCATCTCAAAATTTTTAAGCAACAAAAAAAAAAAAAAAAAAAACAAATGTCAGAGTATTTTTTTTTGTGTATACATTTTGCCGAGGCGTGCAAGCCTCTATGCATATACGTATGTGTGTGTGCATGTGTATGCTGCGTGCATGTATGTTTGTGCGTACTATCCACATCTACATATATATATTTCTAATATAAGCCGAAAACTGTGTTGAAATATGTAGCTACGTATGGCGGGTAATCCACAACACAAACCAAATTCAAATGAAATGAAATCAAAACAAATTAAAACATCTCTCCTGTCCCGCTCCAAGCAACCCCACAAAATCTGCCTCTTTAATTGTAGTTGTGCCTAGTGCTTTAGTTGAATAATGCGAATTTGCTGTTTCTGAATAGTTGAACCATTCCCATAGGCACCACCACAAACATCAACACCACCGCCATCAGCCGCTGCTAACCGAAAGCGCAGCTCGCCGCCCGCACATGCACCAACTGCGGCTGCAACTCCAACCATGGAAGCTGAGGCATCAAAAACAGCAGCAGCAGTTACAGCATCTGCATTGAGTGCTGTAAAGCAGCACAAGTCGAAAAACAAAAGCAGCGAGCGCCAGTTGCGACGCCAGCGTCAACGTTCGAGCAGTCAGAGCGCAAGCAGCGACAGCGACAATAGCGTCGACAACGCCGACGACAGCAAAGACAAATCGAAGAAACATCTGGCAACGCTGTCGCCTACAACAGCAATGTCCACAACAACCGCAGCCAGCTCAAAGACGGCTAAAGATCATCAAGTGGCTGCGAGCGGACGACACAGCCATCATCATCATCGTCATCATCATCACAGAAGTCGCAGCAGTCGCCACAACAACAACAACAATGACGAGGTAAACTTTTGTTCTTACTACCACATAGAGATAACTAGCTCAAGTATGCCTTACATAAATACTTAAGATGCGAAATGTATTTGATGGAATTTTATGGAATCTGCCAACAATTTTGGTTGCATCAATTCCTTGTCAGCAAGTTGAATATTTTGATATTGCAAAAGTCAACGGGAAAGTGAGAGATTAGTTAAAAAAGAATATGGTATATAACTTCTATAGCTCTTGTATACAGTTTAATGTTAACTAGACATATTCATAATTGTTATAGAATTGCCAGAAAGTCCAAGCGAGGGAATTCTTGGTATTCTAAATACATCATTAGGATATGTGCTATATTTTAAGCGTAGAAATCTACAGTTATGTATGGTATACAATTTCTAGAACTATTGTACACAATTTAATGTAAGCTGAAGATGTTCACAATTGTTATAGGTATAAAATGTCAGAAAGTCTAAGTGAGGGAATCCGTTGTATTCTAAATAATACATCAATAAGATATATGCCACATCTTAAGCTTAGAAATCTACAGTTAAATTCCTGGCATTTCTAACTATATAAGGCTTATATGAATATACCATTTAGAGTTAATTGTCTTAACAAAAAAAACTTTTATGCAGCAAATCCCATTCGATATGTGCTCGAGTTTCTTAGGCCTTGGGCATTAGTTCCCAATCTCTTAGTTCATAGACTCGATCAACATAGCTATAAAATTTCACACTGATTTTGCGTCAAGCTTAATTCTCGACCCTCAGTCTATCTTGACTTATCGATTGCACTTAGCCAACTTGCAGAGCCTCAACAACAAATTATTGCCATCAAATATAATCGCAAATAGTATATAAAGCATGAAACATAGTTTTAAGTATCTATGTGAGGCACATAGTTCATAATTTAATTTGTTTCAATTTTCAAATGCATCAATTGTACGTTCCTTTTCTGTATTTAACCCTGGTTTATACGTTATATTTTTAGCCGAGAGCTTTGATTTTTATGGTTTATAGTTCACATTCAAATTTCCTATCTTGTCTGATGTCTAGTTTGAAATGTCTGCTTCATTTAAACTCTCCCATTTCTATATATCTATTATATATATTTCTGTGTTTTATTGTATGTGATATGGCTTTTTGGTTGGTGTTGGAGTCCAGGTTGTTGTAACATCTCTATTAGTGTCTATATATATATATATAATTTTCCGATTCTAATTTCTATTTCTATTCTTTTATTAATACATATTTAAGATAAACCATTTATGCAAACTTTTATATTTATATATGACTAAAATATACCATTTTATTATTGTTATTATGTAAAAAAAAAAAAAAAAAAAAAAACAAAACAAAACAAAACAAAAAATTAAAGAAACGAAAAACAAAAAAAATAGTCTTGACCAGGACCTGGACTTAAACATAGCTAAAAAAAAAAAAAAAAAAAAAAAAAAAAGCCCTGCATTAGTTGAACTAATAACTGTAAACGAACTGTTTGACCGTTAATACGATAACCGATAACCGACAACCGCTAGTCGGTAATCGATAAACCGTGATCGTGAATGTTTTTAGAGTTATTAGAGTTGTTCCAACGCGCCCAACAGGGTTTTGTGTCCCACTCCTTTAACTCCTTGAACACACACTCTGACCGCAAGGTTTGCGACCAAGAGCGAAAGATGACCGAGACGTATCCAATGTGAGTATTGCAACAAATCCATAATAACAAAAAGATAAAAAAAAAAAAAAAAAAAACAAAAAAACAAAAACCAAAATCAAAACAAAAACACAAACTCAAGTAGCATTTAATCAACACACACTTATCAACTCAGCTGCGAATCGACGGCGAAGCGACAAATTCCACAACAAATTCTTTTGCAGGCCTCAACAATCCACAATCCACAATGGTAGATCAGGAGCTGATGCAGGCGCTGCATCGAACAACAATGTCTAATTTCGGTTTCTTGTTAACAGCAACAGCGACTAATTAACCAAACAATTTCTTTTAATTTTCCGTTTCATTCTCTGTTTTGTTACGAACTTCATTTTAAACCTAAAAGTTCGCATTTGTTGATGATGAATGTGCATGCATTAACTTGAGTTTTTGGCTGCCCGTCTCTTTTCATTGCAGGATGGACGCGGCAGACACCGCGACTCGGAGCGCAACAGGGATAAGGAGCGTGACAAGGAGCGCGACAAGGAATACAGCAAGGTGAGACTGCAATTAAGAGACCATAATACGCGCAGAAGGCGAGCTTGACATATTAACTATATCAGAATTTGTATAAAATCCATTTTCTGAATAGCTGAACTTTCACCTGATTTGTTTTGCTCAATAGTGGCTGGGCAACAGCTATATATATATAGCTGAATAGCTGAATTTGTACGAAATCCATACACCTATAACTATAACTATAACTATAACTATAATAACTAAACTATATAATGTTAGCTCGATGTATTTTGTTCAATAGTGACTGAGCAACAGCTATATCTAATACTCAGCAGTAGCTGAATAGCTGAATTTGTTGAAACCCGATATTTTGAGTAACTAAACTATATAATGTTAACTCGGTTGATTTTGTCCAATGACGGCTGAGCAACAGCTGTATATACAATAACTCCTGTATAGTATACTTGCTGAATAACTGAATCTGTACAAACTCTCTATTCATTCTTAGTAACTAAACTATATATGTTAACTCGTTCTATTTTGTTCAATAGTGGCTGAGCAATAGCTACATCACTATTCAGCAGTTGCTGAATACCTGAATTTTTAGGGCTCTATTTTCTGAATAGCTGATTTCTGATTTCTTTTGTTCAATGATGGCTGAGCAACAGTTATATATATAACTGCTGACTAGCTGAATTTGCTGAAACTCATATTCTGAGTGACTAATATTAACTCGATCTATTTTGTTCTATAGCGGCTGAGCCACTGAACAGCTATATGCATAACTGAAATTTTAGAAATTCAATTACCAAACGACAACTGCCCAACTCTATTCCTTTCTCTTTTCAATCCATGTGCGACTCGACTATCTCGCTCTACTGTCTCGCTTGGGTTTAGCATCTTTAACGAACATTTCGCATTTCGTTCACAGAGCGAGCGCCACCATCGCACCAAAGAGAGCAACAAGGAGAGCGACTATAAGCGCGAACGTGAACGTGAGCGTGAGGAGCGTCGCCATGGCAGTGGCAGCGGTCGGGACAGAGACAGAGACAGGACTGGCTCCAGGCATCAGCAGGGTAAAGAGGCGCGCTATAGCGACAACCCGCGCAACTATACCTCCTCCTCCTCCACATCTTTGACGTACAAATCTCAGTCACAGTCACAGCAGCTGCAGCAACCGCAGTCGCGTCGCTCCTATGACGATCGTAGCAGACGTCGCTCTCGTTCCCGCTCGAGATCTGGATCCCGCACACGCACGCATATCGAGGCGCCCGGCAGCCGCCGGCGTCATGCGACGTCTCAGTCAACACGCAAATACCGCAGACGTGGCTCGCACGATTCCAGCAGCCGTTCCAGATCGCCGCCCGCTCCAAAGTCCAGCGAGCCGCTGTCAAAGGCCGCCTATCCCTCGTCTGGGCTGCTTGGCAAGCCGCCGGGTCATGGCATGCCATACAACCCACCTGGTGGTGGTGGTGGGTGTGGGTCGGCAGCCTCGATAGCAGCTGCAACAGCAGCCGCTGTGACAGCCAACATGTCGTCGGGAGGCGGTGTTCCCGGAGGTGGGCTACTGCCCACGCCGAATTATGCGCCCAAAATACCATCGTTAATGTCGCTCGAGCTGAATACACCGCCCAGCGCCCTAGTTGAATCGCAGTCGTCGGCTGTGCAACTGCCCAAGTACTATAATCCGGGCATCATCAATGCCAACCGCTATGCCGAGCAACAGCAGAAGCGGAAGCTGCTGTGGGGGTCCAAGAAGAGCGAGGATTCGGCCAACAAGTGGGGCAATGCGCATTTCTCTCAGGACTCCGATGGCAAGGTGGCATCCAAGTTTATGCGGCTCATGGGCATCAAGAATGCCACCAACAACAATTCAAATCCCAGCAACAACAACAACAGCCAAAATAATGGCGGACCCAATGCGGATGCAACGACTGACCCAACCTGCAGCAGCAGCAGTAATGGCAATGGCAATGGCGGTGGGGGATCTGTGCCCACCGACGTCCAGCTACGCCAGCGCATGTTCTCCAACATGGAGCAGCAGTACGAGGTGGCACGCGCCGCCACCCATACGATGCGGGGCGTCGGCCTTGGCTTTGGCTCGCAGCCGCGCAGCTTTTGAGGCGTTCGAGTGGATGCTGTAAATAGAACGTTAAGAAACTCGTTAAGTCACCCGCAAGAACTATTCTAAATATCTGTTCGCAATATTTATTTGTGTTAACTACATATATCTTCAACCATATAGTTCTTCATTATATGAATGTATCTTTTTTTTTTTTTTTTTTGAATTACTTCAAATAAATTTGCGAGAAAAAAGTTCCAATTCAAGAGAAGAAAAATTGTTTTTCATGGTATGGGATGTATGGGATGTATGGAGCTCTACCTGGGGCATTCTGAAATATATATGCTCATGATTAAAAGTTGTCTTTCCGAAGAAAATTAAAAATAAATTGAATTAAATTAAAACTTTAAATTGAGTTACCTTTCAACTCAAAAAAACCTTGAAAAATTCTGTAAAGTTGTTATCAGACGATAATTCTTAAGGTCAAAATAGAGCTTTACTTGAGACATAAAAGAAATTGGAAATAGAAAATATGTATGGTATATATTTGAATAAAACTAATTATAAATGTGTAAAATTATTATTTGCTTTAAAATTCTAGTTTAACTCAAAAAACTGAAATTTTAATTAATTTAATTGAAAGATAAGAAACGAATTGGAGCATTGGAAAAAAACTTTTGGTCATTCGCAAGGATTTAGTGGATAACAAATTACTACCTAGATTAAGAGAATTTGGATTGATATAAAAATCTACTTTTATTTATTTTATACCTTATAATTATATGGTATAATCCCCATATATATAATCTAATATATATTTGTATACCCCTGCAGAGAGTTATGTTGCTTAAGTAGACATTAAAGGATTTGTAGGGGTTTGTAATATAAATATTGAGGAGCATTCGAGTCTTTCTTAGGGGTATTTTTGTTATATAACTATTCACTACGAATAATTGGGGTTACTTAAATTTGACACACTTGGGCTATACGTCTACAAGGGCATTGAGACTTCGGTACTCCGAAATTCAACTTAAGTCTAACAAAATGCAAAATCATCCTTACGAGCATATACAAAATAGAGTTCCGTTGCATTGACTTGACTCTCGTATATTATATGCATGTATATATATATATATATTCCTATATACATATTGTCGTAGGTGGTAATTCTAAAGCTAGATTGGTCCTTCGATTCTAACCAATTGCAGACTTTTACAGATTTCGACGATTTAAAAGACAGTTATAAAACTAATGAGCTACGATTTTTGATCTGTTCTTTTACACTGTTGCGTATATAAATATGATTTGTTCTCTAAATAATCGAAAGACGTAGACAAAAACCCGTCTCCGCTACATGCTATAAATATATATATATGTATATGTAAATGTCGGAATATTAGACTAATCATTCTCGAAATAGCTGCTCTATGATCGATCGGCCGACCGGCTATGACTAAGTGTGGGTATATAGATGTCTAAACGGGTGTCTTATGCTGCCCAGCGTGACTTTTGCAATTCGATTTGTCCCTCCAGCGTCTTGGCCAAGTAGATAACCAGCAATTGTACAAGTGCCACGCCCAGTGCAATGCCTGCAATGGTGTAGAGATTCCGCTCAGCCCAGACGCGTACGACCTCGATGCAGCCGCTGCTCCATATTATTTTGCTGGCAGCCGCCACTGAATGCACCTGGACACCATAGCCGCACATGATGTTGACCAGGCCGGTGCTGATGTCGGTCGCATTGATGCAACAGCTGTAGGGCACGCCGCACTTCTCCACCGAGGGCGAGGAGCAATTGAAGTACTCATTTTTGCTCCAATCCTGGTAGCCGGCGTTGCTCAGGCCGCAGCACTGGAACTCCTTCTGGGCGAAATCAATGAAATTCTGCAAGTCCGGATCGTCGCGATACGAGTGTATGATCTTGTCCGTAAACTGATCCTCCAGGAAGGAATTCATGTTTTGTGGAAACACAAAGCAAATGATCGCTGCAATTGAACAATTTGAGAATCAGCTATATGTATATGAAGAGAACTCATTCCATTCCACTCACCTATGGCCATTTCCATGAGGAAGAATATGAGCAGACAAAGCGAGTAGAATTTGAGTAGACAAGTATTTTCTCGCAGTGCACCCAGGCAGCCGGCAAAGCTGACCACGAATATGACAATGCCGGCGATGATCATCACCAGCGATATGTTCAAGATCACATCGTAGATGTTCTCCAGCTTCACCCAGCCGTTCGACTCCTCCCACTTGATCTTGAACGCATAGACGCCAATGCTCAGGAGCAGGCCGCCAAACAGCCAGAACATGAAGTTCAATATAAATATCATGTACTTCACCCAGGAGCTGACGAACGTAAAGTGATGCGGATAGGAGATACGTTGATGCATATCGCGCACCTCAATGCCATAGTAGCCGCCGTTGACCCCACCTCCACCGCTGCCACCCCCACCGCCACCGCCGCCACCACCATGACCATGGTATCTATAATTACTCATTGTTCGTTGTCTGGCTGACCTGAGCGATGCGCACTTTTTACACAGACATATTTTACTGTTATTATACGGTTAAATACATGATTGTTCGTTTCGCTTGCATTCTTATACGTTTTGTTAATGTATTTACATTGTGTGTTATTAAAACGGTGTCATTTTGGGCCCAGACACTAAACCAAACATTGCCTGTATGTATGTATGTATGTATGTACATGCGTATATCGATATATCGATACGATGGCAAATTGAATTCGCCTTCAATTGCGCGCGATAGTCAACGGAACTAAAAGCTGATTTAACTGTATGAACTTCTGTATAAATTGAAACTATAATTTTATTTAGCTACTAAACTAATTATTTAATTAATTTAATTAATCGCAATAGCTTAGTTCACTTTAGAACTAGTTCAGTAACAGTTCGCCTCCGACAGCGCTCGATAGTCAAAACAAGACGTGAACTGTGTTCACAATATTTGCTGACTTTAAAGATTTATTTTGTAAATGAAAACGATAATATTTTTGATTGATGTACTAAGCATTCACATTTATTTATTATTTGGTTTCTCTTTTTCATATATGTGCTTGTTGTAATGGGCCAAGCTTAGCTCACTTCGGAACTAGCTCAACTGCAAACCCAGTATTTCTTCTGTAGATATATGCACGTGAATGATTCAGCGCCCTGCCTGGCAGTTGCTTTAGTCGATTGCAAGTTGTTAACAACTGATAATGGTCGCCGCTGCCGCCGCTGCTGCTGCCGTTCAAAGTTTGAACCGCGTACCATGCAAATCCCGAGAGTAGCCATTATCGCCGATAAGCAAGCCAATAATTAGATTTTGTCATATGTGCTACGCTATTTAATAGCCGTAGTAGTTCGATAACATACGCAGTCCAGAGCAAAGATCGCCGCTATGAATTTTGTGCTGCGTTTCATCATATTTTGCATTGATCCGCTTGGCCTGGGCCGTCGCTTCCTCGTACAGCCTGCTCGCAATCTGACGCTCAATGTGTACGATCGCTTTCGCAGCAAGGCCGATGAGAAGGTGGACACCATACGGGAGCTGGTGCTGCGCCTGGGCCTCATCGCCTTCGCCGTTGTGTTGATCATCTGGTTGGCCGTCTTCTTCTATGCCGCCTTCTACTATGTCTACATGCCGCCCATCTCGCATACGCGGCCCGTCCACATGCAGTTCAAGTGGGTATCGCTCTCTCTGCCTCCCCCTCTCGTTCAAACGAGTAAATCTTATTCCGTAGAACCTGCCTGGAGACGAGCACACCGTGCACCTTTCCCCACGCCCACGTCTCGCTGACCAAGAAGCAACAACTGCTGATGGTGGGTCAAGCGTACAAGGTCATTGTCAACATTGATATGCCGGAATCGCCGCAGAATCTGGAGCTGGGCATGTTCATGGTCTGCGCCGAGATGCGCGACTATGATTCAATGCTGCGCGGCCATTCGTGTCGATCGGCCATGATGCGCTATCGCTCGCCATTGATCCGGCTGATATCCACATGGGCACTGAGTCCGCTCTATGTGCTCGGCTGGAAGGAGGAGTTCCAGAAGGTGCCGGTTGAGATCTTCTCGCGCTACTTGGAGGAGCGTCAGCATCCCATCACAGACGTCTATGTGGAGATACAATCGCAGAAGATACAATTCTATACGGTGACGCTGCACATTGAGGCGGATTTTACTGGTCTACGGTACATCATGTTCAACTGGCCAATTCTGTCCGCAATAGTGGGTAAGTTGAACTTCACTTGGTTAATCTTCATTGCGAAATGGCTCAATTGGCATATACACTCTTCCAGCCATTAGCGCCAATCTATTCTTTATATTGGTCGTCTTTCTGCTCAGCTGGTATCACTGGTCGGATGCCACATGGCTGCACAATTTGCAGATCCGATATGCCCGCCTCACCAATCAGCTGCAGAAGAAGACCAGCAGTGTGATCCTCTCCAGCTCGAGCAGCTTGCGCGACGACGACGAGCTCAGCTTCATGGACGAGAAGTACGAAATTGCCGAACTGGGCGGCCACGGCGACGACCAACAGCTGGATAAGTCCAGCGATAAGGCGGCAGAGAGTGCCGATGTCCAGACGGTGCGACAGCGCAAAGTGGAGAAGCAGAAGGAGAAGCAGACAGAGCAGCAGACGGAGAAGCAGACGGAGAAAAAGGCATAAAGTGACAACCCAAAGGGCCGATCATGGCAGCTTGCCAAAGACTAAATAGGTTTACGTTCGATAAACATAGTTATCCCGCACCTCCAAATTTGTTATTGCTGAAGTATTTCCTCTACTCTAATGCAAAGTTAGGACTTATGACTCTGAATGATGTCCATATGTAAATGAAACGCGCAATGCTTATTTTGAAAACATTGCATATCAGTGTAGGGTCTAGCTATACGCAAAGTCTGATATATAGAAATTCCAATATGTATATAAGTACATATATACGCCATAAAAGCTTTTAATTATAAATGAACTGAACAATTGCTTACTGCTTGAAACATGTATTTAAATGAGATATATTATGTGCATAGACTATCTATAGATAATATCTCTGAAATATATTTGCTTTGCTTGAAGTGGATTTTACAAATTTATGGATATAGCAAAGTCTATCTGTATGGCTGTGTTAAATTGAAATTTTATATGATTAAACTTTGATTTCAATATATTGTTAACTATCTGTGTAACAGACACTATATAAATATATATCATAATCGTGCAACAGATGGAATATGGTATATGAATTTTCTACAAAAATACGGAAGAAATTTTAGCTAGCTATTTGGCCTTGAAAATTTTGAAAAATAGTATATATGCTTGGTTAGTGGTAAACTATTGTCAGAGTACTATATATAAGTTGAATTCATTTTATTTTATATTATATTAGCACTCTGGCATGCAGCACATATAATTGGGTTCGTTCGCTTAGACCCCAAATAAAAGCCGATCTGTTGCTGTCAGCTGAAACTTGATTCACTCACATCTGACTAACTCTCAGGTCTATAGGAACGCTCAGAGCTCGATGCAGTCGCTAAAGAGGCTCCCAATTGGACTCACGTTTGTGGACTTGTGAGGCACTCGTATTGTGCTCATATGAGGGGCATTCGCATTGTGCGCTGCGATCGTTCGATACTCGATGCTCGCACACGAGCTAGAGGCGCGTTTACTCTCCGACTTGCAAGACGAATTTAAGTAAGATGAAGAGACTTCACTGCGAAGTTGTTTATATAGTTTCATTGGGATATTATTTTTAGAAAGTTGAGATTTGTTGTTGTGGTTATGTTTTATTTAATTTAATTTTTTTTAATCTTTATTATAATACGACGACTGTATAATTTTGTGTGTTTAAGAAACTTTTAAGTCTTTTAGAAGTAAATGACATTGATTATAAAGTGATATAATGTGCATTGAAAAAAAAAAAATAATAATAATAATAATAATAAATAAATAATTGAAAAATAAACAAATAAAAACGATTTAAATTTTAATAATATATATTTTTTTTCTTTAAGAATTTACTTTTCCAACTAATGCTTACTATGAATTAAAGCGAACTCAAAATATTTCGTAAAAATATTTTTTTTTTTAATGTACTTAAAGCCAGTTTTTTTTTTAAATTTAATTTAATTTTTTTTTTAATATACTTTAAGCAATTTTTATCAATGATGATGATTAAAGAAAGTGTATAAAATATGTATATATGTACATATGTATGTATATATTGCGATATATATTATTAAATATTTTTGTTCAATTCGGCCAAACAAATATATATGACTTTATATATAGTATAGAAAATGGTATAGACTCTTCATATAATAGTATATTGGAGTATATAAATCATACTACTCCTGATTTAATTTTAGATAAACTCACCCAGATTTCAACATGAATTAAAGTATCTTTTGATTGCCATAATCTATAGAGCATCGATAAGCTTTTAATAAAGTAATGATCATTAAGCATCAAGAACATCATAATGAAGACTTGAGCGAATTGAATACACCATTTAATGTGGTTTAGAGAAAGACTCAGAGAAGAGCAATTTTAATAATTGTTTAGGATTTCATATTGATGGTGTTTGGCTCAGTCAGACTATCAATAAATGACAAACGTGTATATGAAAAAAAAAAACACTATATATATATTTAAATATATATAAGTAGATAAGTATATAGATATAGATTAGATTAGCCTAATTGCAGCATTATTTGTCGGTCGACTTTTCCTCTTCGGGCTCCGATTCCGAGGACCATATCGATTCGATAGGCTCCGGCGAATCGGGTTTGTCCGCTTCGGCCGGCTCAGCCGAATCCACTGCGGCAGCATTGTCTTTACTGTTAGACAGCAGCACATCGCTAAAGATGATGTCCAGGAGCAAATAGCCAATTTGCTGGGCAGGAAAGTCAATGAGGAAGGCGACGGTCAGAGCGAAGCACACAATGCAGAGCAGCTCCGGAAGGCTCAGCTGCAACGATATACATATGTATATATGTAAGTCTATGTATAATATATGGTAGAGTATTCACTCACCAGATCGGAGACTTGAAATTGCTGCGGCTCCTTCACGCTGGCCGTGTTCCACAGCACCACCGTATAGGTGGCAAGCTGCAGTGGAATTTGGATTCTGGAAAGGATGAGCACGGGCCGCGCAATGTTTGGATGGCGTTCCAGTATGCTCCTGTCCAGCGGCGCCATCAGCAGGGCCCAGCATACGCCCAGGCCGAGGATGAGCGGACTCCAAGCCAAATAGGCAGCCGCCTCCGTCGATCTGTAGACGTATTTGCTGCGCATGCCCGCCGCAGCGGCCCAGAAGCACCAGCCAATGCCCAGCATGGCCAGGGTCCAGCCGACGCGCCTGTAACGTGTTCCGATGCCAAACGAACCGGACTCGCTGCGGAACAGCAGCCCGGCGCCGATGCCCAGCAGATAGGCCGTGGCACGTGCCACCGGCGAGCCGTATATGAGATTTCCCGTGCGATAGAACTTGCTGATGCTGCAGGCAGACGACAGAGATGAGATGATTACAATTCCTTCCAGGATTTACGTCCTCATTCACGACTTACCCAATGCCATGGAAGAGCGAGGGAGCCAAATAGTCCCGCTGGGTGCGGGCGTAGCGCGCGGCCACGGACACGGCATGGAAGGCGCCGCAGAGAAAGAAGCCCGCCTCCGGATCCGTGAAGTACAGCCAGACGACCAGAG